TAAATAAATAAATAAATAAATAAATAAATAAAATCTTAAAAAAAAAAAAAGAGGCGATGCTGGGGCTGAAGCTCAGAGGTGGAGGAGATGAAGCCAGGTGAAGTGGGCCCAGGTGGAGGGAATGGCCTGTATGTCAGGAATGATGGAGCAAAAGTTGTCTGGAAGGGCACAGCAAAAACTGTGAGGTGACAGGAGGCAAGAGCCAGGCTGGGAGGAGCTGTAGGACATATTGGGTCGGCAATGGTGCCGTAGGTGGTGGGGAGCCATGGAAGGATTTTCAGCAGGGACAGCAGCTTGAACATATTTATCTCTGGAATGACCACTTTGGGAGGCTGTGTGGACAGCTGATCGAAGAGAGAGGCTCCATGGGTGTTTGTCCCATCTCAGCCAAATTCATCTTGTCCCCTGTGGTTGCTCTTCGAGTCTCTGCAAGGACCCCGTGGCACCTAATATGTGGAGAGTTCAGTTCACCTGTGGTCACCTGGCTGCGATTTGCTGTGGCCCCCGGGGGCAGGAGAGTCTTGGAGTTCTGCTCTTCTACCTCCAAGACCGCAGGGTGACCGGGGTCCCCAGGGCTGCAGCAGACACAGGCAGTAACTTTGCCTTGTCTTCACCTTCTGAACGGAAACAGCACGGCGACTACAGAGACTTTTCATAGATCTCATCTACCAAATAAGAAATGGGTAGACAATGCTGCTGTCTTCAAGATGGCAGATTTTTACCCAGGTACCTTTGGGGTTTGCTCTTTGATTTCTATTGTTATCTTAACTGCTCCTTCCCAGGGGTTCAGGCTAACTGGAGTGCTAGAGATTCATTCCATCTTGTTCTGCCTGGGGTTGTATTATATTTACGGCTCACGTGTTTTAAAATTCATCAGGCATCTCTCCTGTTCTTTGGCTGACCAGCTTTACCCGCCCGCTCTGACTTGTCGGTGACGTTATTCCAGTGGGGCACGGACAATGGGGCCTGTCCCCTCTGTGACATATTAAAGAGAGAAGGAACAAAAGAACTGTCTCTCCTTAGAACCTTTAAAGGGTCCTAATGGAAATATTGAAGGCACTAATTAATTGTGGCTCTTCTTCTATAAAATACTGATTGAAGCTTATTCTGCATGTGGAAGCTGGAGACACAATACAGCCAGACTTAACTCTAGTTTTTTTTTTTTTTTTTTTTAAAGAAATGGAAAAACTAGAAAAAAACATTCTGGAAAGTAGGGATGAAACAAAAGCTAATTCTATGCATAAGTGGGCAAGGTTTCCTCTAATTTCTTCCTTCTGTGTGTGTTCTAAGATAGCTTTTGTTTTGTGCAGAAGCACAGAGTAGTTGCCAAATTTCTATTGTTGTAGAAGGTGGTGACTCACCCTGCCAGTGAGAAGTGCAATGATCTAATGGAGATATTTGAAAATGTTAGTAGGAATCAACAGTAAGCCCACAGGGCTTTTATGGACCTATATTTTATTGATGACATATACCCTTTTTCATGGCTCCTCACAAGATCCAGCAAGTTTGGAGCTTCAACTGACTTTTTTTTTTTTTTTAAAGATTTTATTTATTTATTTGAGAGAGAGAATGAGAGAGAGAGAGAGAGAGCACATGAGAGCGGGGAGGGTCAGAGGGAGAAGCAGACTCCCCACCGAGCAGGGAGCCCGATGCGGAACTCAATCCTGGGACTCCAGCATCATGACCTGAGCCGAAGGCAGTCGCTTAACCAACTGAGCCACCCAGGCACCCATAACTATTTTAATTCTTGTAGGTGATCTATCTGCCATCTGTGTTTTGGACACTTCCTCATAATGGAGTTCCCTGATTTGGGGAAGCATTGTTCAGAAAAAACTTGCAAACAGCTAGGTAAGTG